TTCGCAATCCTTAACAAAATTTAGACTTGGCAACCACTGTCTGAAAATTGAAACAGGCCGGCATACAGGATTGGATTTTAAAGACAGAGTCTGCAATATGTGCGACAATGACCATGTTGAAGATGAACAACATTTTGTCACAAATTGTCCTCATTACAATGAAATAAGATCAAAACTTTACATTGTAGCTAATAAACGTATACCAAATTTTGACAAATTTAGTAATGAAAATAAATTCATATCATTACTAAGTGACGAGAAAATGTCAATTCCTTTAGCGCAATATTTAAAAAACTGTTTTAATACAAGACAGCAGCACCTACATAAACTAAGCCAGTAATACATTCCTTGTATTCAACTTATTATCTTTTTTTTTTTTTATGCCTTTTTGTTCCCTTACTCTTTATGTGGTTATTTTTCTTTTACTAATATCTGATTTGTAACCCTTTTCATCCCCTCCGAGGGATGTTGTGTGTTAATAAATAAATAAATAAGGACAACGATTATTAAAAACATCAACGTCCTTGTTTCCAAGACTTTATTTGTTTTTTAAATTTAGTGGTGATAATTTGAGACTATATATATTTTTTTACATAAGATTCATGTTCCTTTAACATATTTATGTGTTTCTCGTCTGTTTCTACGGCTATTTCATACTTGTTTGATTGCACGTGACTTCCGATGTGAGAGAGACTGCGGGACTATTTATAACCATGATTTTCTCCAAAAGAAATAGGCTGATCAATATTTTTTCTACACAAAATGTACTATATATAAACTTTTGTGTAAATTATAGGCGCGAAACGTTCGTCAATCGAACGTGAATCGAACCGTACGCGGTCTTCACACTCGTACACTGAAACACAAATCGGGAAAACCTATAAAGGGATTTGTAGGTCCATGTCGGAAAATAGGGTGACCTCGGCGCGATCATACTTGTCCTTACCTGCTGAAAAATTGCTCTTTTCATTAATTCCTTGCCAATCATAATGTACAGTCTATCTCACTTGGCCGTATAAGTCGTCGCCAAGTCCCTTTTAAAAAAACACTGATATTAAAACAGAAATAAATAAATACACAACAAACACCTAAATTTTCATTTTCCGGATGCAAATTGACCTCAAGTGCGCCCTCTTCCAGCTGGGGTCATTGCACATGCGTTCTTTTCAAGTTTATGGTTGGAAGCTTGTGTGTGTTGTGTCACGTGTTGTGACTATTTCTCAGTTTTTACCGTCGTAACTCGTTTAGTTTTGTAACAAAATGGTGAGTAGTTTGTCTTCACATTGTTAGGTTAATATATCTCTCGCGAAGAGTTTCGCCATTGCTCGTAAAATAACAAAAATCAAGCCTGGTGTTTTCAGTGGCGTCGGTTGCACAACCCATGGACGTACTAGAGATGGACGCGGCACGGTGATTCACACCTGATAGACGCATTGTCTTTCTATTGTATTCATCTTAAATATATTAATAGGCAGACGTACTTTCATCTTGGCTGAGTTGCCGCCCGATCTTAGTTTTGATTTTTCACGACAAGATTCGAATCTTAAATTTTATATTATATTGGGTCAAAAAAATAAATACAGACCTTGCCTGTGAGCTGGTGCAATGTTAAGTTGTAAATCGAAAGTTTAACGCAGATCCGTTTATTCTAGGCAAGTTTACGAGCATGTTTGTACCGATCTTCTGCATTTGTTAACAATTTTAATTTAATATTGCCAGTAAACCCGGTGTGAGCGGATGACGATTTTGTTATCCGCCGTAATAATTCAATGTTAATCATGGACTTCTTTTAACATTAGCTTTCACGTTAATGGTGGGCTCTCACGAGAAACAATACTGCTCTTCGTCCTCTTCAGGGAGGGCCGAGTCGACAGTTTCAATGTCCTCAATATCAAAGTCATTATCGTCTAGTTCTAAAATGTCGGGATCAACAAAATCCAAATCGAAACCAAACTTTCTCTGTTGCCTGTTCGTCACCATTTTGTTTTCTCTTGACGATCCTAAACAGATCATTGGGGGTGTTCGGGACAAAACGAAACTGAACCGAGCTATAATCGGGCGTGCTCGTGATCGTTTCCCGTGAACAGGAAACAATGCAGACACGATCTGGATTAACAGTAATCTGGTGGCGGCAACGCACATGCATCAAAGCGAGTAAACACCGTGCAGCGCCCATCTCTAGTACGTCCATGCACAACCATAACGAACACAGACATAATATGACTGTAAATGAGACACTTACTTCATATATAGCATAGTATAGTTTAATATACATTTCTTTCATTTACAGATATATTCATTGATCTAAATGTCTGTTGTCATGAACATATTTAAACATGGACAGAATGAATGAATGAATATCTGACTTCATTTGAATATTTGTTATTTATTATATGGTTAATACTTTGCAGCAAATGGTATCTAAAAGAAACCAATCAAAGCCATCTAATTTACTCATCACATAAAATGAATCCATCTCAATTTACCCGAATCCACAATAACCTCAAAAAGTCTTATTTCACATTGGAAAACTGAAATTTTCAATGACAACAGGACCTTAGCTAATGGAAAACAAACTCTGAACCTGAAAACCAAATTTCATCCTGGAAGCCTATCTTGCCAAAGCACAAATCCACATTTTTAAAAGTCAATCACCACTGAATTAATAGGCTTAATTTAATTCATGTCTGGTGAATTATGAGGGAGCTAGTTCTTGACCATGAAAGTAATATTTTGTATGTGCTCTTGCTATTAACACCAGAAACAGAATAACTTAAGTGAAACAGCGATGATTTTTATGTCTGGAAATGTCACCCGAAACGACAATGTTATAAAAAAAAAACTTTGCTAATATGTATTTATTGTTATATTTTTTCTGTTTAGCCACAAAACGAACATATAGAGTTACATCGAAAGAGACATGGGTATCGTCTTGACTACCATGAGAGAAAGTAAGTTATTCTGGGAGTTCTCTACCATGTATTTCAAATCCTCTGGTGAATTTTATTTGAACTTTTACATATTTTGCTTTAATATATTTGCATGAACTACTTCATATTCTGATATAATTTAACATTCTGAGGGATTAGCCTTAAAACCTATATTAAACAGTATACTGGTGATCATTAATGTTCACATGCAGGGTTCTCCACGGTTTGAAAATTAAACAGGGCGCGCAAATGTGAAGTGGGCGTGGCACATTTGTAACGTGCATCATTGGCAAGGATGTTAAAAAATAGAAACCAAAAAATCTATTAATCTACATATTATTACATATGCATAATATATATTTATTATTACAAAATGAATAGGAATTTTGAAGAGCTATTATTAAGTAAACGTCAGCACGTACAATCAGCTGATTTTAGCTGCACGATTCCTCAAGCGGCGACATCAGTTGTTTACAAGTAATGATCGCGTCCAGAAAAAAACGTAACAAGTTTGTTAATTTATTTCCCAAATAG